TATTATGTAAAAAAGTCACCCTGTTTCTGTTAGGCTCAGCAGAGGGCAAGCTTTAAAGTCATGAACCCTGGCGGTTCGGTCCGAATTTCGAATCCCACGAACAGATAGGCTGCATGGGTGTTTTCGTAGTTTTCCCCATGTATAACATGCATGTGAGCCAGTTTTCATTAGAAAGTCCTCCACGATGGCATCCCTCCATTTGGCCAGATAGCCCTTTGGCTTTGCTATAATTACACAAACAAAACCTACTTCTGTTAGGCGGCTGCAAACTTGGTTTGTGGCCCTCTACTTCTGCAACTTCAGTTATGAATAAAACAAAACCTTAAAGATTATTTTACTTTTAAATTAAACATTATGCACCAATTTACTGCTGTAAACATTAACCTAAGTAAGTACTTTAAGTGAGAGGCGTGGCCAATAAAAGGTTACAGAATTTCTATCTCAAGAATGGTGACTGAACTGCAAATTATAGAGGTCACAAATAATTTATACCTTTGCTTGTCTTAAAAATTCTCTTAAAACAATAATTTTTATTGCATTATTCAGATTTTTCATGACAGAGAAAGGAAATTTCATTAGTGGGAGGAGCCAAACCATTTTGTAAGGGAAAGAATGTAACATGATGTGATGAGTAAATAGTATGAAACTTTAAGTTATTAGAAATTTGAAAGCATTTGGAGGAGCGAGATTGGAAAATTAATATCATTAAGTAAACAAGAAAAATTACCAATGATGTGAAAGTTTTCAAAAGAACCCAGTTGATTAAATGAAGAAGCTTTACGGATAAGTTTGAAAGATTATATTAAAATGTAATTAAGTGACCTCCGTACTTAGCTAAAAAATTCCTTTTTCCTTTCAAAAATTAATTCATATTCCCCGACGAGAAATTTCAGCACTTTTTCAATTTGGCCAATATACACGAAACGGCACAATAAACATCAAACAATGCTAAATTAACACAATAATTAAAAGAACAAATGAGATCTTTAAGAATCGAAAAGTGAATTTTACAGATAGTGAAAAAAATAACTTAAATATTGAACTTATGGAGAAGTCGAGAAATTTTGTAATTGATAGAAAGTTTGAATAATTATTGGGTACATGTTAGCTAAACGTCACTGTCGGCTTAGTGTCCTGTTGACTAAATGCATTGACAGTTAAGTGTCCCGTAGCCAAATGTCCTGACGGCTAACTGTCCGTGTCGGCTAAGTGTCCTTGTTGGCTAAATGTCCATGCCTGTAAAAAAGGTTAGCTTTAAATATGTTGTTGGCCCATAGATGGCGCCACTGTTTTTTATATTCTATAACTGTGCACTCCAATAAAACTTTACTTGTATTCCAAACTCCCAACAGGTATGTTGTGTCTTATTTATTCTCATGCATGCAAGTAACCACTCTCTGCTATGTTGAGTTTCTAATAGGTTATGGGCCCAGGCCAGATTAAGAAATGAGGATAAGTAATCTAATGACTAGCTTAGTTTGTTTACTTAATTCTATTTGTAAATTTTTAGAATTACTTCAACCGAAATTGGCCACATGGTTATGTTAGGGTTAGCCAAAGCACATGGTTGCAAAAGCTTAACTAGTACAAATATTTTTGACTGTTAATTATTTGGGCAAATGTTTCTTTGAGAATAAAATTAATTCAATAGAAAATTTATTTGAATTTATCTCAAATTATAATTTTTTGTCTCTTGTTGATTAAAGTTGAAAAAAGGAAAAATGCCAGGGGGAGAAGGTTCATTTAGTCATAAACAATTGAGTGGAAGGGAAAATTACATGGATTGGAAATTTTCCATGAAAATGCATCTTATTAAATTAGATTTATGGGCTTATGTAGAGGGTACAAAAGAAGATCCAGTAAAGGATACCAAAGCTCTGTCATATATAGTTGAAGGGGTAAGTGAAATTATTTTCAATGATATAAGGGATTTAACAAGTGGAAAGGAAGCTTGGAAAGTATTAGCTGAAACATATGAGGATAAGGGAATCACAAGAAAGGTTTCAATAATTAAAACATTAGTGAATACCCGTTATACTGATTGTAAGGATATGTCTGACTATTTACATAGGGCCATTTCAGCTTATCAGCAGTTAAAATCTACTGGTGTTAAACCTGATGAAGAATTAATTGCAGGAATAATTTTAGCTAATTTACCTGATAGGTTTGAACCTCTTATAATGGCTTTGAAAAATTGTGGTGAGGCAATAACAGTTGACAATGTTAAAAATCGCTTGTTAGCTGAAGATTCAAAACCCCTAGTCAATGAAAGTAAGGAATATGCATTTGTTAATAAAAATATTGGAGGCAAAAGGTACTTTAAAGGAAAATGTTTTAAATGCAATTTGTTTGGCCACAAAAGCTCCGATTGTCAGAAGTCACCTCTCAAAAAGGATAGATATAATGAAAACAAGTTTAACAAAAAGTCTAATGTTGGATTAAAACATAAAAAAGGGGAAGAAGCTTATGTAGTGGAAATTAGTGTAGCTAATTCTAATCCACATCCCAATATTTGGTACATGGATTCTTGTGCTTCTTACCACATGACTCCACATAAAGAATTATTAGATGATTATCAGGATGCTAGTATTCATCAAATAAAACAGGAAGTTCAGTAATAGAAGTAGAGGGTAAGGGTAAAATAACTTTCCTCTTATCTAGAAATAAAAAAAGGGAGTCTGTAACTTTTAGTAATGTTTTACACGTTCCAAAGTTAACAGCCAATTTGCTGTCCATAAAGTATTTAAATAAAATATTTGGAATGGTTAGTACTTTTACAAATGAAATATTTTTTGTGTATAATGGTAAAAATTTAGTTGCTACTGGAACAGGTACGGGAGATAATTTGTATTCTCTTGATTTATGTAATGAATGGCCTTTAATTACTGCTAAAAATATTTCAAATGAATTATTACATAAAAGAGTGGGCCATTTAAGTGAAGGAGGAATGACCAGATTTAAAAGATATGATTCGTCAAAGGTTTTTACATTTAACGGAAAATTGTTAAATTGTGTGTCATGCATTAAAGGCAAAATGCATAGACAACCATTTCCCAAGGGAAAAGCTAAGCGTGCAAAAGAGTTATTAGGCACAGTACACGCCTATGAATGTTATATCAATTGGTGGTTCTCGCTACTTTATTAGTTTTATTGATGATTTGTTGCGAATGACTTTTGTTTATTTTTTGAAAAATAAATCTGAAGTCTTTGAAAAATTCAAAATATTTCAAGCATTTGTTGAAAAGCAAACTGGCAAAGCAATCAAAATCTTACACTCAAATAATGGTACTGAGTATGTAAACAATGATATGGATAACTATTTAGCATCAAATGGAATTCGGCATCAAAAATCTATTCCATTTACACCAGAGCAAATGGTGTAGCTGAACGTAGTAACAGAACTCTTGTAGAGCGAGCACGATCAATGTTGCTGGATGGTCATCTTGATCAAAATTATTGGGCTGAAGCAGTGCAGACTGCAAATCACTGTAAAAATATATCTCCAACTATTGCAGTTGCAGGTATCACCCCTTATGAAAAATGGTATGGGGATAAGCCAAATTTAGAATACTTGAGAGTATTTGGATGTTGTGCATTTGCTCACATTCCAAAACCAAAACGTAAAAAGTGGGATATAAAAGCAAAGGAATTAATGCTTGTGGTACTGTCAGGATAGAAAAGGCTATCGGTTAATAGATCCCAAAACTTATGAAATAATAAATGCACAAAATGTACAATTTTTGGAAAATGAAATGTACTACAAAAGGGCAAGTAATATGCCAAAATTCTATGATGAATCCTCATTCAGTGGGAGCGTGATTACGACATTTTCAGATACTGAGAATGCAATAGCTGATGATCAGAACGGTGAATTGGAAGGGATGGTTAATGATAATACTCAGTCTGATCATAAATTAGTTAATACTAGTATTAATTCTAATAAGAGTGAACATAATACTGCTCAAAATGACAGCCATGATAACAGTAGTGTAGTTGATGAGATACCTACATTGACTAGAAACAGAAAACTTAGATTCCCAAAGAGTTATCAGGACTTTGACACACATGGGATGCCAGAAATGCCCATGCCAAATTTAGATTGTATGTGCTTTGTTAAAGCTTTGGCAGCAGCTACAAATGGTGTGTATTCTGAACCGAAAACCATTGATGAAGCATTAAGGGGCAATGATGCAAACCACTAGAAGGATTCTATATGTGAGACTATATTAGGCCATATTAAAAACAAAACATGGGAATAATAGATAAACCTTATGATAAGAACATTGTAGATTGTAAATGGGTTTTCAAAATTAAATGTTATTCAGTAGGCAAGATTGAAAGATATAAAACACGTTTAGTTGCTAAGGGCTATTCTCAGATTGAGGGAATAGATTATACTGAAACATTTGCACCAGTTGTCCGATAAATAACATTAAGAGTTTTATTAGCTTATGCAGCTATATATGATTGGGAAATTGACCAAATGGATGCTGTAATGGCTTTTTGTATAGGGAACTCTAAATGAAGACATTTATATGAAAAATTCCAGACGGGTTCAGTGAATTTTACAAGCAAAACTTAAAGGGAAAGGCCCTAAAATTAAACAAAGCATTAAGATGGTTTTAAAGCAGAGTGGTAGACTATGGTACCATTTGTTAGAAAAGGACTTAAACAGAGTGGTAGACTAGATACCATTTGTTAGAAAAGGTTTAATAGAAATGGGACTGAGGCAAAGTTCTTTTGATAGTTGTGTCTATATTAAAATAAATGAAAATAAAGATCTTGTTATTGTTACTATTTATGTTGATGACTTACTCATTTTTAGTAATAACATAGAACTTAAAAATTGGGTAAAACAACAACTTAAAGAAAAATTTGAAATGAAAGACTTGGGACCAGCAAATTATTGCTTAGGAATTAAAATTGAATGAGATAGAACTAAAGGGTCCATTAGCCTTAGTCAAACTCAGTATGTAGAGAGTATGCTTTGCAAATATAATATGAATGAATCTCATGGTGTAAAAACACCATTAGACCAAAATCAAGTGTTATCTAAACTGCAGATACCAACTAGTGAGGAACAAAAGCTACCTGTTCCTTATCAGGCTGCCATTGGGAGTCTTCTTTATGCAGCTCAAGCAACATGGCCAGATATAACTTATGCTGTGAATTTCCTTAGCCAGTTCTCCAATAATCTGGCAAGGGTTCACTGGAATGCTGTCAAGCACATCATGCGGTATCTTCGAGCCACTACAGATGCTACATTGTCTTCTTTCAAAGGACTGTAGTGCTGATGTCCTTGGTTACAGCGACTCAAACTATGGAGGTGATGCTGGGGATCGACGATCAACCACTGGATATGTTTTCCTCATCGGAGGTGGTGCAGTGTCATGGTGTAGTAAGCGTCAACCAACCATTGCAACTAGTACAACAGAAGCCGAATATATGGCTCTTTCTGCAGCTACTAAAGAAGTCATATGGCTCAACAAAATTGTTAAAGAACTTGGGATTATTACTGCAAAGCCAGTATTATTATACTGCGATAACAACAGTGCTTTAATCTCAGCAAAAATAATGTGTATCATGGTAGATCAAAGCATATTGATATACAACATCATTTCGTGCGAGAAGCTGTGAAACTTCAGCGCATTGACATACAATATAAGACTACTAATGATATGATTGCAGACTTTTTGACAAAAAAATGTAAACAGTGCAAAACATGAAATGTGTACAAAATGATCGGTTTAAAATGAAGGCCAATGTAATTTAATGTTTTATTGTATGTAGGTGTGCTGATGTAATTTCTCATTGTATTTAATTAGGATGATATTTAAACCTAAAGTGGGAGTGTAAAAAAGGTTAGCTTTAAATATGTTCTTGGCCCATAGATAGCACCACTGTTTTTTATATTCTTCTATAACTGTGCACTCCAATAAAACTTTACTTGTATTCCAAACTCCCAACAGGTATGTTGCATATTATTTATTCTCATGCATGCAAGTAACCACTCTCTGCTATATTGAGTTTCTAATAGTGTCGGCTAAGTCTCCTGTCGGCTAAGTGTCTCTGTCGGCTAAATGTCTTGTCGGCTAATTGGTGTCAGTTAAGTGTCCAGGCGGCTAAGTGTCCGTGACCCCACAAATGTTACATAACAGTTGTAGAAGGAAGAATGTTGCTGTTTGTATGCAATTTTCCCCAGATTTCCATTTTCTCTCATATGTATGTTTTATTTTCCAGTTTACGTTTGCTTGGTGCTAAATCAGCTAGGTCTGAAATCCGATGGCTTCAATCTTTCAACCAATTTTTAAAAGTACACTTCAAATAGTTTAGTCATATATTAACCCTTAATACTGGGTCAGCTTGTATACATTTGTATCATTTGTGGAAATGGTTTGAGATATATATAATTATCCAGTAGAATAAAGACATTTTGAATTTGATGTGGATCTGAAATAGAGTCTGCAGGCATTTGGGGGATGCTGCAACAGTAGAAATCAAAACTATAATTCAAACTGAATGTTTAAATGGAAAAACTGAAGATAAAATTTTGCAATGCGCATGAAGTATATGGTTGTCTGGGTATTTGGTTTAGAGACATAGAACCAGAATTATAATCACTATTAATGTACTGTCTGTTCTCCCTTGTGATTGCCAAAATTACAACATGCACATGATAAGTGAAATCAGCAATCATCTCTGCCTAGGATTATGAATAAAAAGTCTTAAATGGTAAAATTTTATACCGAAAAAGTATGATTGCACCCATATTACTGCAGAGAAATGCAAAAATTAGAAGAACGTACAAAAAGATCTCTCTACGGAGAATGTATTTTTAACATCTGTATGAGGGAAGATTGTAACAGATCTGCTGACGAAGTAAGTGTAGGAAGTTTTATCTCACCCTACCATAAAGTCTAGACATAGTCCACTAGACTTCAGATTCTTCTCCAAGTAGGTGGAGCCCCTACGAGAAAAACAGTTTTTCTCTTTGAAAGGGATTTCTTCAGCTGAATATCTGAAATAAATAAACCTGAGAGAGAGAGAGAGAGAGGGAAAAAAAAAAAGAAAAGGAATGCATTATTTTTTAAATGACTTTTGTATATATCTGCCTTTTAAGCTGCCCTGATGTCCTCCATTACCTGCTTTAAAGTAATCTGAAGATAATAATAATTTGCAGGAATGGAATTATTTGCCATTTTTTTTTTCTTACTGTGATGATTCTGTTCAGAGAACAATTTGAATTCAGTTAAATTATTATACACACACTGTTCAAGAAAATAAATTATTGTTTGATTAAAAAAAAGCATATCATTGAGAGAATTTCCTAATTAAGAATCAGATTAAGGAATATAACACTTTTTTCTTACACATACATATATATATTGTACAAGAATAATACATTAAGATTTTAAAAGTTCAATTACCTCTTGTATCAGGGATTACAAAGTAAAGTGGAGTTGTCCAATTACCAGTATGAGCTAGTGATGTTGCTCTTAACCTCAGAGAATAGTTTCCAGGCTTTAAAAAATCAGATCTATATCCCATTTCCTTTTGGTACTCGAGTTGTGTTATACATACAGGCAAGCGTTTATGCTACGGGTAGGAGAGATATTTTTTAAAGCAAGTAAATAAATAGCATTATAAAATATGACAATAAATTTTCTACTTACTTCACTTTTTTCAGCCAATTTTATTTCTATATCATAATTAACTATTAAACCATTGGAGTCTTTTGGTTCATCCCATTTAACAAATAATACACCAGATGTAAAGTTTTCAGTTTTTATTTCAACTGTACTAATGTCAATATCATCGACACCACCTATAAAATGCAATATATCAATTTTTACCCGAAACATTTAACAAAATCAAATTTTCTTTTTTCAAATTTACAAAATTTCCAAAATATCAAGAAAATATAAGAAATACAAGATTATATATCTAGACATATTAGAAACAAATTAAAAACAGGTCAGCTATCATAATTCATTATACCACTACATAATAAGAATTTTGTCTATGAGAATATAATTATTTTGCATGCAGTGTGTGAAAACTTGGATATAGGCTTTATTTACTTAAATATTGATTCCAGGTGTCCCAGCAAAAGGTGATTCAGGAAAGAATTTTATAAAAATAGTTTCAGTATGGGGATAGAAGGCTCTGTAAATGCAAAATTTAGCATTTTATATGGTCCCTGCAAAGCCCCCCTTCCCCAAAGAAAAGACTATGTAATGTTCCATTTCCATTAGTGTATTGTGAACACACAGCATCATTCGGAGAAACGCATATGCAGATGGACGACTGTTTACACTACTGCGTTCGATTCACGCTTACGGAAGTTCGATGGTCAATTGCATTTATTGGCATCAGATGTCTTTGTATTTAACTTATGGCAGTCGGACTCTTAAGACACTTAAATTCAATTTCGTTGGAAATTTTTATTTCTGCCTTATGAATTGTGAAAGTAAAGCTCATTAGCAATTTTTAGATGAGTAACATTATAATGCACATCACGAACATCTCTAATTGCATAGAAGCTGAAGTAATTTTCAAAAATTTCTATGCATTTCTAGGAGCCTTAAATATTTCTAAAATAATATATAATTAAAACTAAAATGTACAGTTAGTGCAAAAAAATATAAAAGTTGAACACATTTAAATACAGCTGGTACTTTAAAAATACACAGCAACTGTAAAAAAAGGTTCACAATATTTACACAAAATTTGCTATGCTTGCATACAATTGATTGCAATGTGAGATTGTATATTTTTAAAATATGCACAAATTTTGAGAGAAAACAGATAATATATAAAATTTTAGCATCAATTTGCTCAGTGTCATAGCTGGATAATTTATTAGAATTTTCGTTTTTTTTTAATATGTACCACACACAGTTATACATAATATAATAAAATATTATTTTTAATTTATAAATTTTAATTTCATATCTCTTTTTATAGAAGAATTTATAAAGATAAGTTTTTTTTCTCTTAAAAAAATATACATACATACATAAGGAAAAGAAAATATAAATACTTTATTAAATAATTTCTGCTGGGGAGAACTGAATTTTAAGCAATTATTATAAGAATTTTTTTAAATGTTTTATTAAAATATAAAAGACCTAGGTGGTCAAAAACTTTGTGCACTCAGCTGCAAAATTTGGGAGAAAAGTTAAAAGTAAAAAATTCCTAGTTTGTACGCCAAAAAGTTGCTTAGATACTGCGGTTCCATTGACAGTATTAAACATAAGTAAAAAAATAAACTGCAATGAAATGTGTAAATATAAAAGATTAAATAAACAATATATATATAATAAGAAATTTAGAACTAATATTTCACAAAGACCAAAAATGTTGAAATTCGTAATTAATAAATTTCAAATAATCTTATAAATGCAACAAATAATTTAATAAATGTAAAAACCAAGACTTTTAAACAATCAGTACCCTAATTCAAAAAATGTTTTAGAAATTTAAAGAAAAAAGACCATAACAGAAGAGGAATTCAATCAACTTCAATGCCACTTCATCAGGGAAAAGGGACATTGAAATCTCTCTTCTACAAAAATCCTTGCTTTTCTGTATCCAGAATTAGCTGATGAACCATTCCAATGTATTTTAAGTATAATAGTTTGCCCGAAAATTCTAGCCCTTCCCCAAAGCAAGGAAAAAAATTCTAATTAGAATTTTGTACCTTGAATAAAAAGAATTCTATTTTGTTTAAAGAACTGTAACCGAAAGTGAAAAATTAAAATAATTCAGTGAAAAAAACAAATCAAAATTTTACCTTTAAGCATATACAATCCACAGAATTTTTAAGTACCAGAAACTTCAAGAAGAATTTTGATCATATTTTTATCAATCTACTTAAGACTATTTGTAATATAGTTTTTGAACAAGTTAAAGAAGACAAAAACTTCTGCTGGATTATTAACAATAACCTGAAAATCCCTGAAGAAGTTAGAAATCTTAAAATTTACAATATTAAGTGCTATGACTTTGAAAACCTACATCTCTGCCACTCAATGAAATTTATGAAAGTATTTTAGAAATTAGATTTTCCAGAAATACTTAATATTCTGGATTTACAAAAATGGAAAGAATTTCTGCATTTTTCATTATACAATAACTACATTAAACATTCTTTACCTGTAAAAGCAAGGAATTCCAATGGGAAGTCCATATTCCACTCATTTGTAACTTATTTGTATTTTCAAAAAAATACAAATTCCTAAAGAGCCTTTCTGCTAACGATTTCAGTAAATTTGAACACACTTATAGATATTTTGATGACATTATTACTTTTAACAATTTTAATCTCATCAAAAACAGTAACATTTACTCAAACTGTCTAAAACTAAAAAAGACCAATAAAAACCAAACAGAAATATTCATAACCATAGATTTTAATTTTTCGACTAAAAAATTGGAACCCCAACCTATCTAAAAAAGTTATAGCAAATACTATTATTAACCAAATTAACAGAATTAATAAAAGTTTGCACTGAAATACGAACAAAAAGAATAAATTCTAATTCTCACTAAAATTTTAAAAGATAATGAAATTCCTTCAAAAATTCATTAATAATCTTTTAATCTGGAGTAGTCTGCACCCTATAATACTTTTTACTTCCTTGTACAAAGTAAAAAGGAAAAGTTTCAGGCAGCATATTTCAACGAAAATATACATTTTGACCGCTATCGAATGCAATTTAACGATGTTTTTGCGTGATATCTGTACGTAAGGACTGAATAAAATACTCTTTTCCTCCAAAAAAATTATATAACTGCTTTAAAAATGAATTCTGAAGAGAATTTTTCATGGCGTCTGTACGAACGTATGTACGTACGTACGTATATTGCATAACTCAAAAATGAGTAAACTCAGAACGTTGAAATTTTGTATATAGGACTGCTATAACATGTAGATGTGCACCTTGTATTTTGGTTGCAATTGGCCGCACCAAACGTATATAAATATATTTATATATATATCCACTCTGTTACCCGGCTCAGTGATCTCAGTTTCTTTACTCGTATATGTTTGTAAATTGTACAATTTTTTGCTTTAAAAATGATTGAATTATGTTGTTTTTATCTTCCGGTTAAGGTTTTTATGCCTTTAGTAAATCTGTATGCAATATTTTTAGAATTATCAACAATTTTAAAGTTGTTTAAGTGCCGCTAAGCCTTTTTTTTTCTTTTTTTATGGTGGCCATTGATTGTTTACATTTGAAACAGCAGACTAGTGGATTTGTTGCCAATTTGAGAAACTTAGCTTCGCAACAACAAAGATAACGCCTTCATTTATTATTGCGAATTAAATCATGCTTAATACTTTCTGGAATTTTTTCGAGGAAATAAGTGTTTAAGATTTACTTCATAATTTTTAATACAGATATTTTTAAGTTTTTATGTATTTTTGCCTTGTCGCGAAGTGAGAACTGAATTAATTGAATGAGAATTACTCAATCGTCTGTGGAAAACTGTTTCTTTTTTGTTTTGTTTGCTTAATTTCTTTTTCTTTTATACATCATTCTAGCTTTATTATAGTATTTGAATAGAATATGTGGCAATGATTAGATAATTTTTTAAATGATATAAATTTTGTGCATTCTGAGTTATAATATGAACGAAATATAATACTGTTAAATGAACCTAGCGCCAGAGTGTCGTTATGGTAAACAAATACAGTGAATTTTAAAGAATGCATTTATTCTATTCTGGTTTATGCGCTGTCGGCGAAGTAGATTTAATTAAATCCAATATGTTTAAATGAAATGCAAGAAAAAATGTGTATAATTTAATATTCCGTACAAGGAAGTCATGTGGTGTACACATCAGATTTTTAAAAGTATGAATTTCTTATCTGAAATATCTAAAAGAGAAGGATAAAGAAGGATGTTTACTGTTTATAGGTTTTTATTTTGATTTTTTATTTATTCTTACTTTTAATTACTATTCTGTTACTAAACAAGGGCCATATATATTTTCAAAGTCGTCATGATAAATCCAAGATGTGAAGACTTTTTACTTTTCTAATAACAATTCCTTTACTTCCTTTTTCTATAATTTTAATTTACATTTTTAAAAAAATCTAAAATTAAACTTTATGGATTTTTCTACTCAAATCTACAGAACAGTTAATAAAAGCTTTTTGACCACTTTTTAGGCACTTTTTTAGTCTAATATTTTTAAAGAATAATTGATTTTAAAATTTAATTACAGTTTTAAACTGAATGATGTCCTTTATTCCCATTTTTGTTTTAAAAAAGTCAGAATTTACTTTAATTTCTTTCAATTAATACAGTAGTTTTTCTTTGTCAAAATTTAAAAAAAAATTACTGCAATATTTATCTATAAGTATTTAACTATAAGTTTTTCATTAGGTTTCAAAATTCCATCTCATGTTCCAAATTTTAGCCTTTTGAGCAATTACTTTCTAGCCAAGATTTTTAGTTTCGCCAATGAAACCAAAATGGCAAACCTGTAAATTACTACAGTCGCAATATTCCTAGCTTCCATTGAGGCCTAATGAAAGTGCTCAAGGTTTTTAAATTACTTATTGTGAGTTTTAATTAAGTTTTTTCACCTAAGTTTTTAATTTCACTAAAGTTTAACCCCTTCGCGCCGACTGTCACGTCTACGTGCCAGCAACAAACACACTCACTTCCCGGCCGACACGCAGGCGTGCCAGAGCATTTTCCCGTTTAGCCCCGACTGTCACGTATTTTTGTGCCAGCGTCCTGGAACGTTTTGAAAACTATAATTTCTGCCACAAGATGGCACTGTATGTCCATATGGTTTCAGATACAT